TTTCAATATCTCCACTAGTCTCCTTACTTTTGACTCTTTTCGTCTTCGTGGCTTCGCTTGCAGGAGGAAGTCGTTAGGAGGAAACCTTCATAATATACTATTTAAAACTTCGAAAAAATTCTGTAAAAATCAACCAGCGGTAAACTGCTCTTCAGGCTGTCACTGCGAAGAAGACCTCTGAAGACTATCACAAATCGGTTTATGAGGAGAAGATCACCCAGTTGCAACACAACCAGGAGTCGCTGTTATCTCGGAATGATGCCCTTGTCGCTGAGATCGATCGGCTACGGTGAGAACAAGAATTTTCAATCGCTTCCTGATGGGAATTTAACGAGAATTTTTCCAAATTTTTGGGGCATTAGTTGCGGGATTACTGACAATCTCGTTTTGTATGGGCTTGGCACACTGCCCCTAACTTTTTTTCGACTGATTTCTAACTGGTTAACAATTGAACTTTATCGGTTGGCGCTTGAACGGAACCCGCTTGCGTAACTCGTCGTTCCAATTCAATTTGGGTCCACCTTGTGACCATAAGCAAGGTCAATGGCTTCTCAACCTCTTTTGGACTTCATTTTGGTATAAGTAATCCGAAGGGTTCTGGTCCTGTTGCTAATGCCTAGGTTATCTTGAGAACCGGAATGAATAACGACTCCGAAGAAGTCCGTTTCCCCGGAACGTTGGCTGGTAAAAACTAGCAAAATTGACTAGCCAATTCGATTTTCTGATTTGAAATGAAGAAACCACACACAGGTTACTCCGGCACGAGCTGAGTCCTTATAAGCACTTCTTAAGGCATGAACAGCGTGATTCGGCAAACCGCGTTGGCCTTGTTGAACCAGAAGTTAGCGGAATGTGAGCGATCTCTGGAGAGTTCCAATCAGTTGAAGAACACCCTTTCGCAGCAGGTTCTTGGCCTGCAGAAGGCTGAGACAGAATGGAGCAAGCTCGAACGAGAAATGAGGGATGAGCTAGTGATGCTACGCAAAGGTAAGGACTACTTCACTTTAATTTTGTTATTGGTAACACTTCCCAATCGGCTGCTCACTTCCGAAGTCGAAGAATTGAAACGAAAACTTGTGCGAGCGGAAGTGGAGAAGAAGGAAGTGGATGGATTCCGAGCTCGACTTGATCGAGAAGTGGCGTCATTGAAGAAGCACATTGAAGCTGTAAGCCTTGCTCACTTATCCCCCCTCCCCCCGATTTTCATGCGATCATTTCCTAATTTTCAGCTCGAGCAAGAAAAAACGCGTACGGATGCCGCTGTTCGAAACACTCTCAGTGAGCGGAAGGCAATCGACAAATCATTAGCCGCTATGGAAAAGGAAAATTCAGAACTGTATAGAAATTGTGCCCAGTTGCAGTCTCAGGTGAGGGAATCGAATTCGAACGACCCCCCCCCCAACTGGAGCAACATCAAATAATCATTCAGATTGCTCAACTTGAACGTGATGCTGGAAGTAGAAATGTGACGAAGATGCTCAAAGATCAGAGCGAATTAGAAGCGAGAATATCTAAATTGATTGTAGAAAAGCGGCAGGTAAGTGTGCTCATTCCGTATACTGGCAGAGCTGTTATTCTCTCGTTGTTCTACTCTCTGGAAGTACTCGCTCACTCTTGGGAGGCGTACGGTGGGGAGAGCGACCCAGTTCAAGCATCGCTGAGTGCGTTTCGCCGCACTTCGTTGCGAGCTGAGAGATGTGACCAAGCGCTTTTCCATATCGATGTGGACGTTTCCGTGATTTCACCTACCCAGGCGGAACCAGTAACAAAAACAGCTGTATCAGCACTTCACTAGCACTCTCCTAGCACTTTCTCAGATTGGCATGAAATCATAACTTAATCACCTATGCTAACACTTGCCTCTATTTTTCAAGTGTCATAGTTGACGCATTCGATATTGTTGTTGAAATGAGATCCTTAAAGCAAATGAAGAGCGGGGGGGGGGGACGTTCAATATGAAGACATTTCAAGAAACGAGGAAGAGGCGCTGTTAAGCCTGTAATACGGCGAATGGGCATTGTTGCGGAAAAGTGTAAGGATGCCACAATTGCGAAGATGCAAAGCCCGCCCACACAGTCATCGCGAAATGTGCTTTTAGAGGCAAAGAGCTCCTTTGTGCGACAAAATTGGCTGAATTCTGTTAGCATGTACTCATAATTTTTATGAACATATTCCTCTGATGAAACCCTTCGATCCTTGTTCTTGGTTTATATGTTCCTCTTTCTCACATGTCCTTACCTACTGACTACTCACTAACCGTTTCGTCTTATTATCTCGTTTTCAGCTTGAAATGGTCATTGAGCAAAGGGAGATGAACTTCACGCATAAACGTAAGCTGTTGGAATCGCAATTGTCCTTGCTTCGAGACCAGCTAGAGGCAGAAAAGAAGCGACGCATCGAACTGCAACAACGCGACGCAAGAGCTGGAGCAGGAACTGTGACAGATGGAGCCGGACCAGAACGTCATTTCACTCGCGCCTCGGATCTCCGCTCGAGCCGATCGAAGTCGATTCAACGGCACAAAAGCCCATTTCGGGTATGAACCATACGAAATTACTGCAACATAAGGGGAACGCTCCCCTCGATTCATTTGCCGGCGATTGTGGCCGCTAAGCCGGATAACTTGCTTTGAGAATGTTGGCTTTTTTTAGTTCGCTATTTAGCTTTTTCCTTTCTTTGTTGTTATTTAGCATTCCAGTGATGTCCGCCTGTGCATCCCGTGCAGCTAACCCTTGTAGTCCTTGTGTGCCGTGCTTCGTAATCCGATTATGCCCTTTTTTAATAGAAAATGATTGCTTAGCTAATCATATTTATGCTCGTCTTTCATTCATTTGCCGATCTCATCCACAAGCTTTGCCATACGTTCTCCTGCCGATCTTTGCATTTATACGGCCAAGTTTCTATGAGGAAATCTTTCTTTACAATGTTCACAGACATTTTACATTATAGGAGAGTTCTATTGTCATTATGAAATGAATATGTGCTGATTTCTCCTGTGTACAGATGCACGAATCCCGTCTAGTGCATGTCTTCCCCTAGCTTTATCCTTGGTTTGCTTCCTTCCCTTGGTTTCGTAACGTGCATGGTATATATGCAACTGATATCGTTCCGTTTCAGGAGGCCTGGAATGAGCTCCTTCGCAGCCCTTTTATCAGTGGTTTTTTTCAAACCTGAACAGGCCACTATTGGTAGAAAACGTAGCCAAGGGTGGACTTACTGCCACCACTAAACCCTGCCGGGTTGCGATGATATCAACTGTTTTTGCTTCGTTTACACCGTTACAAAAGGTCTGCTGAAGAATGCTGAAGAGTTGGTTCCTGTCCAGACTAGGTGAGAAGGAGGCAGCTCGGCTTGGTGTGGGCAATGGTACCCAACTATGCTTGCATTGGTCACTTTGCGAACACCTGTTAATTCCTGTCCCTGACCGAATTGGCTCACTTGAATAACTTCGCAGCCTCGCAGGAGTTAGTAGGTTCGACCACAGTGAAACCTATTAGTTAACATGAACTTAGGAAAGGAATCAACATAAGTACAAAATGCCGGCTTCAGGCCGAACCGTAGCATTTGTTCCTGCTATTTGCTGAGCAAATAAGCCACCCGTGACAAAGAAGGCCACAGCAACTTGTGCTGGAACTGTTGCTCCGTATAGCCTCGTTAGTCGAGTGGAGTGCCAAGTTTGTGAGCGCGACGCCTGGGGGATAATGTTACAGCGCAGAGAACCTCATGCGTGAAAGCACTAAGCAAGCGGTTTAAAATGCAGTTGCACGAGGGTTTCCTACTTAGCCTAAAATGCTAGTAGGGAAATGTATAGTGGGGAAATGGCGAAAGAACGGAGTGAAACGGCCAAAATCCGGCGAAGAAAAAGCCTGCAGTTCTCAGTGACTTGTAAATCGATTTCGGACGAGTTTCCGCGTATGCAATATTTGCCAATCACCTCTACCGAAGACTAGCGGCTGCGCATTGGTACCACATGTGTATGATGCAGGCATCAACGGCCGCTTTCAGACGCAACCTTTAGCTTCATTAATTTGGCTCAGCAATATGAATGTAATACGAGCGTCAAGAAAACGGTCGTCCATTTTGTCGCCGGGCGACAGGAAGGCGTTTGAGACGTAAAAGTTGTTGCTCAATAGGGCGTTTATAGGGGTACCCTCTAGGAAAAGGCTTCACGCAGCGCCTGTCCGAGGTCACGGAATTCTGTTAAGCCAGTTGTACAAATCCTACACCTGTATAGCGATTTATCGTTGCCCAGCTTTAATGAAGAAGTGCCTAAGACGATGAAAATGATTTGACGAAAGAGAAGTGGTAGTCAAAAGATCGCGATTTTGGCCATGGAAAGGCGGCGAGGCAAGGGCGGAATCCTAATCGTTCCGTTGTTGTCAAATAACAGGCATTGAAAGCAATTTCGGCAAATAAATTCAAATTAATGGCCAAATTTCTGCGAGCATTCCACTCAGCGAACTGGCTGCTTCCCATTGTCTTTTGATCACTTGCTGAGGCACAAGTGTAGTGAACTTGCTCAACCTTCTAGTCGAAGTTACTCGACTGAGGCGTTGGACTAACCACGACGCGTGCGGCTGCGCGGCGGTTAGCGGTGGAATTCATTCAGGGGAGGGGGGTTGAATTTCCCATAAATATCTAGTTCTGTGTTGATAAGCACTTTATGCTTTTTTCGGAATGCTTCTGATGAATGAATATGCACTGCTTGCCTGTGTATTGTCTGTCTGTTTTCATTTTGTAGATCACTTGAAATCGTACAGGGTAATGGTTGATTTAGAAGAATGAAAAGTACAAAGCGTCGAGCTGGTTGAGTATCTGACGGCAGCACCGTTTCAGGTTCATCGTGCGGTCTCATGCGAAATGTTCGAGCGCTCCTACCGCTACGAGGCATCGCTTTCGTCGATCTCAACGTGCTCGTACCTCACCAATGACACCTCCACTAGCATAGAGACCACCATAGTCTAGACGTGTACCACCACTGTCGTTCAGTGAATCACTGCAAACACCGTAAATCGCTCAATAGTTCTGGTGTGTCCTTCACGATTTGTTGTTCATATTTGGTTTCTGTAGTCCTTTTTGATACTGCACTACGCACATACGAGTATGCTTTTCGGTGATCACTATTCTTGTCCACTTGTGTTTTTGTTTAGTTTTCACTTCGATCGTGACTAAGGTGCGCATAAGTTGTCCTTTTCACCGAAAAATGAGATCTAGATTGTCACGGTTAGAATCTCCACACCCAATCGATAGTAATGTTTTCGAGTCAAATTGCATGATAGTTTTGAGAAGCCTTTCTATAGCAGATCTGCACTGCCGTAACCGTTAAAAACCAGCTGTCAACAGCTCGTCTCGTCTCCAGTGTATATATTTTCATATCCTTATAAAGATTAAATAATTGCTTTATATTCTCGTGATGAGTCCCTATAAAAAATGCCTGGAATCCTATAAAGATAACGATGTGAAGCATTACGTTGAGATCTGGTATTGGTGCACATCTTCCATTTATGGGACTTTTTTGCTGACAATTTCACCTCGCCTCCAGTTAAATTAGGTTTATCTTGAAGTCGTTGGGAAAGTATACATTCTCCACTCATCTCAATATTCAGAAAAGTAGCTTCCACACTAGAACAGTTAATGAAGATCATTCGTATTTTGACCTCAAAGGCTCATAACT